CACTTCAGATAGAGACCATTCAAAAGGCCTCTTTGACAACCTGCGACAATTCAAACCTCGTTATACTCTGCCAATATAGATTTCGAAGTAACATCATAAAAGGTATGTAGCCTTTACTTATTTCTAATTTAGCCAACAGCCCACATTTATGCAGCAGTTAATTACCAAAAGCAGCAAAGAATTCCTCAAATCCGTTCCCCCAGACGGTTAACCCAAAAATAAGCGAAAGTATTAAAAGACCGACTGTTTTAACTTGAAACTAAATAGAACACTTCCAGTAAACAAGTTGAGATATTGTTGTCTCGTACTCGTTCTTGATTGGCTGGTTTTTAACATGTTGGAATTTATTGTTTCAGTCCTGGGGCCTGTTTCTCGAAAGTCCAGGTAACCTTAACGGACCCGTAGAGCTGTTCTGATTTCATTCAAGATGGGAATTTCAAAAGTTTTGAAAATGATACAATAAAACTATCAACTTAAGAACAAAAAGGACTGGTGCGGGTGCCAGAACCTGTTTCCTATCCTTTAAATTTTGATTTTAAAACATGGCTTCGGGCTCGTTAAGTTACCGGAACTTTCGAGAAACGGGCCCCTGATCCGTATCCCCCAAAATATACACAGTTTGAATCATACATTAAATGAAGATACCATCTTCTTGTTATGATTGAAATACAGTTCAATTAATCATACTCCTAAAAAAGCGTACGCTTTATATTTTTTTCTGATAGTAGCCTCTATTCGTAATGTTATTTTGAAAAGAATGCTTTATGATTTTGTTTGTGAAAAAAAATGTGATTAACTAATTTGATATTATTCCGCTGGGGGCCCCCTATCATCGCGATATTAAAGAAATACTTTTGGATTGTCAAAAGGAACTCACCTGGACCACACATTTCACAGCTCTTCTTGCAGTTCTGAGCCATGTAGTCAGGTCGCGTCGCACATTCATTCTTTGACACCCATTCTGGACAGCGTTGGTCGATGTCTTCACATTTGTCAGTATCACCTGATACAAATTCAGCAAATTTTCCAAGTTATTGACACGATGAAGAATGCCTCAGAATAATTGATGATTAAACAACCATTCATACCCATGATCTAAGGAGACCACTGAAACTTTTTCCGGCATAAGACGGCATTCTATACGGGGATTACCCCATCAAAAATTTAACGAGAACCATTTGGCCATTACATGGTGAAAAAAAGGTGTAGACTTGGTAGATTTACTCCCGTTTTTTAAAGTATATATTACATTTCATGGTGGAGGTGCACATAGCAACACTTCACCTACGTTCAGACTGTTCATAGACACCCCACTCAAATCAATCTAACGTTACTCTAAACATTACTTGGAAGGAAGTAAACAAGGTGGCCACTGAAATGTGCAGACGAGGAATTGAGCAGCAAAAAGAACCTTAGCGTGCTGGACATCTCAGAAAATCAATTGGACCGCTGCAGAGGAGTCCAATAGAGTGCAGCCAAAAAGCACATCTATTTGAGAAGTTAAGAGTAAAACAAGTTTGATCTTGGAACTTTCCTCGGCGATGTCAAACGCAGCGCACGATATCACTCTACCACTCTTCTGTCTACATATGGCAAGGAGGAATATCTTATGATATGTGTCATGCCCAGTACTGGTCATTAAACAAATCCAGCAGCGTTATCGTTAAACCATATGATAGATTTATTACCTCTCGCTCTTCTGCAGAACCGGCAGCTCCATGGACACCTGTCAATCATGTAATGGTAATTGGACGCGCAGAATCCATTTTTAGCCTCTTTTGAGCACGATTTAACTCTATCATAACACTCCAGCGGATTGATACGAACTATGGGGTAAATAAAAATGGTTTACAGTTTTACCGTCACTACCACATGCAACGATGTGTATACTGACTTGATTTATTT